GGTGTGGGTAGGGTGGAGGAGGAAGTATGGTGTGGGTAGGGTGGAGGAGGAAGTATGGTGTGGGTAGGGTGGAGGAGGAAGTATGGTGTGGGTAGGGTGGAGGAGGAAGTATGGTGTGGGTAGGGTGGAGGAGGAAGTATGGTGTGGGTAGGGTGGAGGAGGAAGTATGGTGTGGGTAGGGTGGAGGAGGAAGTATGGTGTGGGTAGGGTGGAGGAGGAAGTATGGTGTGGGTAGGGTGGAGGAGGAAGTATGGTGTGGGTAGGGTGGAGGAGGAAGTATGGTGTGGGTAGGGTGGAGGAGGAAGTATGGTGTGGGTAGGGTGGAGGGGTAGTATGGTGTGGGTAAGGTGGAGGGGGAAGTATGGTGCGGGTAGGGTGTAGCGGGAAGTATGGTGCGGGTAGGGTGGAGGCGGAAGTATGGTGCGGGTAGGGTGGAGGGGGAAGTATGGTGTGGGTAAGGTGGAGGGGAAGTATGGTGTGGGTAAGGTGTAGCGGGAAGTATGGTGTGGGTAAGGTGGAGGGGAAGTATGGTGTGGGTAAGGTGTAGCGGGAAGTATGGTGTGGGTAAGGTGGAGGGGAAGTATGGTGTGGGTAAGGTGTAGCGGGAAGTATGGTGTGGGTAAGGTGGAGGGGAAGTATGGTGTGGGTAAGGTGTAGCGGGAAGTATGGTGTGGGTAAGGTGGAGGGGAAGTATGGTGTGGGTAAGGTGTAGCGGGAAGTATGGTGTGGGTAAGGTGGAGGGGAAGTATGGTGTGGGTAAGGTGTAGCGGGAAGTATGGTGTGGGTAAGGTGGAGGGGAAGTATGGTGTGGGTAAGGTGTAGCGGGAAGTATGGTGTGGGTAAGGTGGAGGGGAAGTATGGTGTGGGTAAGGTGTAGCGGGAAGTATGGTGTGGGTAAGGTGGAGGGGAAGTATGGTGTGGGTAAGGTGTAGCGGGAAGTATGGTGTGGGTAAGGTGGAGGGGAAGTATGGTGTGGGTAAGGTGTAGCGGGAAGTATGGTGTGGGTAAGGTGGAGGGGAAGTATGGTGTGGGTAAGGTGTAGCGGGAAGTATGGTGTGGGTAAGGTGGAGGGGAAGTATGGTGTGGGTAAGGTGTAGCGGGAAGTATGGTGTGGGTAAGGTGGAGGGGAAGTATGGTGTGGGTAAGGTGTAGCGGGAAGTATGGTGTGGGTAAGGTGGAGGGGAAGTATGGTGTGGGTAAGGTGTAGCGGGAAGTATGGTGTGGGTAAGGTGGAGGGGAAGTATGGTGTGGGTAAGGTGTAGCGGGAAGTATGGTGTGGGTAAGGTGGAGGGGAAGTATGGTGTGGGTAAGGTGTAGCGGGAAGTATGGTGTGGGTAAGGTGGAGGGGGAAGTATGGTGCGGGTAGGGGGGAGGGGGAAGTATGGTGCGGGTAAGGTGTAGCGGGAAGTATGATCTGGGAAGGGTGGAGCGGCAAGTATGGTGTGGGAAGGGTGGAGCAGGTAGAAGGGTATATGAGGCAGGAACCCAAATAATCCAAATTTTATCTCCTCAGTCCGGAGTATTTGCTGCCACATGATAGTCCTTGTATTTTTATGGATGAGTGCTTTGGCCTTGGTCCCACCTTGGAAGAATTGTGTATGGGGACAAGGGTCTCTTCCCTTCAACCCTGGCCCTACCCAGACGCCGCCCCCCCCCCCTCCTTGTGAATAAGTAAAGGGAACTTGTATCCTCACACATTCACTTAAGAGTAAAATAAAAAGTCAATAAACACACCAGAATTTTAGAAAAAAATCCTTTTAATTGAACAAAAACACGAAAATAAACGCGAAATAAAAAAACTCCCGCCGACCGTTGCCGGTGAACTGCTGCAGCAGAATCAGAGATGTGACATCGCCCGGCTGCATGTAAATAGATGGGTGGTGATGAAAACAAATGGGTGGGCTGAGTGGGGATATCACCTCTGGCTCCGCCTATCTGTTTACATTCGGCCGGGAGCTGTCAAATCGCTCTTTTTTTGCGGTGGCGGCATTTGGGTATTGCGGGCGGCGGAATTGTTTAAAATTTTGGCCAGTTGGTGCCGCCGTTCATCATGATTGGGGTTGGATTACATCGTTGGCATGTGGATGCTCCCGTTATGAAAAGGGACACCTACATGCAGATGAGAGCTCCCCTGCTCTGCTGACCCCCACAACCCCCGGGCCAGGGATGTGGGGGAGGAGTCCCTTGTCCTCATTCCCCATTTCCTGCCAAGCCAGTGCCCGGATTAAGAGTCTGGTATGGGATTTTGTGGTCTCCACAAAGGCTACTTGCAGGTCAGTTATGTTCCTTTGTACATCCGCCTTCACCATGTGGCCTATTGAATATCTGGAGGTATTTGGCAGGGTGTGTTCTGGTTCTGGTACTGGTGCATCACATTGTTCCTATGCTTGTGCTATGGAATTGCAGCCTGGTGCAGTCCCTCCTGGTGGCAGGGTCTCTTGGTTGCCGAGAATAATGCCATGGAGGAGTATGTGGAGGATGTGCTTTCCCGAGGTTCATCCCCAAGTCCTCTTCTCCAGCAGGAGCTGGCCTGTAAAGAAGACGGGTGGCGAGCGGAGACCTTGTGTTGATCGTTGGGATCTCAGTCGCATCCCGATCATGAATGTCTACCCTATTCCTTTAATCACGGAATTCTATGACCATCTCAAGGGAGCAACGGTCTCTACCAAGCTCGGTCTTAGGGGTGCGTCTAATCTTGTGAGGATGAAGGAAGGCCAGGAGTGGAGGGCAGCGATTAATACCAGGAGGGGGCATTCCGAGTATCCGGTAATGTCCTTCAGATTGCGCAACGCTCCCGCTGTGTTCGTTAATGATGTCCTCCATGATATTTTCCATCCATTTATGGTAATCAAACCAGTCAGGTGGTAAAGTGTGTGTGGTGGGGGGGGGGGTCCTCCTAGTATGGCCTCCACCAATAGAGGGTGCATTCTCTGTTGGATCCATAAAAAGAGTAGAAAATACTTTCCTCATTAACATAAATTATAATAATATTTAAATTTAAAGCAGTTCTCCCAAAGTTGAGGTGAGACCCCTAAACTGACACCCTTTTCTCTCATTAGCATATTAGAGTAAAATGCAAATTTGCCAAGTTTCTCCTTAAGTGGCAGGTGAACCCCAAAACCGCGCCGCTAGGGTGGTAGGTTGGGGGAAGGCGGGCAGGTCCCAAATTGCTCCCACTTTTCCCAACAATCTTTATCGGGACTCTTTCAGTAAAAACAGGGGTTTTGGGTGGGATAATTACTGTAAAAAATATGCAAATCCCCTGTGGTCTCCCTAAGTAGGAAGCCAACTGGAAAATGGACAAATAGCCGCTTCATGGAGCGAGGTTCCGCACCTCCAGGGGGTGCTTCATAGCACACATACTGCTCCCAATGCACGTGAGGTGCTAGTCTGCATCCCAGAGAGGTCTTCAATCCCAAACTAGAGACCTACTTCCTCACAGCAACCTCCCAATCCACGTGAGGTGCACCCTGCATCCCAGAGAGGTCTTCAATCCCAAAATAGAGACCTACTTCCTCACAGCGACCACCAGCCGAACTGTGCCTACCGCATAGGGAGCATGAGCAACCACCCTGAGCAAAATTGCACCTCACCGATCCACAAGGGCGGGTAAGGGGGATCGCTCCTCGTTGCCTGCGAACTAAGGCACAAGCAAATAGGAGCAAGGGGGGGGGGGGGCCCTTTAGAAAAGGGACGCTCCACCCAAGGCAGACTCTTGGGTACCCCAGGCACCTAGTGACCAAGAATCAGGGCAACCTAGACCACGCATGACCTTAACCAAAAGGCCAAGAAGCGATTTCCATTTGGTCCTTCAATAAAGAAGGGACCTACTTTCCCGACCCCCCCGGGGCACAAGGCTCCTGACAGGGGTTGAGATACCTTGGTCCACCAACCCGAAGGCTGCCGAAACAGGTCCCACCCAGTACTAGGTAGGAAGCTCTCCCGAAGAGAGACTCCCTGGTTCGGGAGGAGGCAGAGAACCCTATATTAGGGCACAGAACCTCCTCCCCTGCATCGGGAATAGGCCCCGAAGGTACCTGCACCCTAGCACTCTGTGGGTCAAAATTAAAAAACACAAAAATGTGCCAATCGTGCATGAGGTGCAATAAATAAAGGAATAGTGCCAGTGCACCACGCTGACAGGCCTTAGGGGCCGGGTGCTAAAAAAATTGCCCCGGACTAGGCATAAGGCCTGTCCAAGAGGCGTTGTGCAGAAATTGCAAGGTGGTGTGTGTCCATGTGCACAGTGAGTCATGTGGGGTCCCATACCCAAGTGACTTCCTGAGCACCCCTGGGACGCCACCCCCAGGGGGCACAACACCACGGGCTCTGCCGCCTCCCAACCTCGACCAAGCTCCGTATCCTTTCCCATCAGAAGGTAGTGCCGTCAGGGGTCCATCCCTACCACCGGTGACAAGCCCAGCATCACTGGGCCAGAATCTAACCAGGAGGGACTGTACCCCATCTGACACCCACCAATTACCTGGCCAAAACCGGGCGAACCAAATCCTCACGGCCAGCCGAAGCCGACCAACGAGTACAAGGTTGAGGGCTCCCCCACGAAGGGAGACCCCCCCCCCGATTCAGGGGAGGGAGGAACCTGATGGCCACTCAGGGTAGGCCCGATGACCCTCACCCTCCATCCTGTGGAGTGACAAACACAGCATACAGCTCAATTGCTTGCTATCTGGGTTGGTGACAGGGTCTCTTTACATGCGGTCTGGAGGTCCTTATTGCTATAGAAACAGTGCAGAGACATCTTCTAATATTTGCATACGGAGGACAGACGGCGCTCCTCCTCAACTGGCATCACCCACAAGGGGGAGGACTTTATCAATGATATCCATGGGGGAGGGGGGAACCCAGAGACAGGAAGAGCGTGATCATACAACCAACAGGAAATGATATAAGGACAGGAAGTGATGTCACATAAACACAGGAAGTGATATCACATGCAAATAGGAAGTTCCAGGTGAGTTGGGAGGAAGTAGAGAGGAGACATTGTTGGAGGTGGCAGCAGAGGAGGTAAGAAGATATTATTTTATCTATTAACACAGACGTAGTCCTGAACCTCCCTCACGATTGGGATTAAACGGCGCGCGTACATGATCTGTCTACAGAGTCTTCTATGGATCACATGACCACGTCAATGAGGATGGAGGAGGACCCGAGTCACATGACAGAGAGGATACTGAACCTCACCCTGGAGATCATCTACCTGCTGACCGGAGAGGTGAGGAGGATTCTGGGAGGTCACATGACATAAGTTTTGCTCTTTTAAAACAGAATTTTCCTCCGGTGAAGTCTGGTGACCGTCTAACCATCACAGTGCCTTCACCTCACTCCATGAAACCCGAGAGGAACAATGAGAAGAAGATTCTGGAAGCCACCAACAAGATGATTGGTCTGCTGGTGGGAGAGGTGAGCGGTGCCGGGAATTCTGGTACATGGTCCAGGAACAGACAAGGGGCGTGTCTGGGTGGTGACTGTATCATTGTGTGTGTCAGGTTCCAATAAGGTGTCAGGATGTCTCTGTCTATCTCTCCATGGAGGAGTGGGAGTATCTAGAAGGACACCGGGATCTCTACAAGGACGTGGTGATGGAGAATGCCCCGCCCCTCACATCACCGGGTAAGAGGAGAGAGCAGTACGGAGGCTCCGCCTACATCCCCCATCATAGAAACAATGTATTCAGTCAGTGTGTGTGTTTCCTACAGATGGATCCAGTAAGAAGAACCCACCAGAGAGATGTCCCCGTCCTCTGTATTCCCGGGATTCCACCCAGGAAGATCTCACCGTCCCTCACCGTGATCAGGTCGGTGGGATTGAGTATGTGGACCTAAAATAAGTCTGCAAGATAACATTCTTCCCTGTTTACAAATGTATCGTCTTTGGGGTGTAGGGTGAAGAACTGAAAGACATCACAGCTGAGGTGAAAAAGGAGGAAGATGAGGCATTAGTAAAGGGGGATCTGCAGTCGATGGAGGAGGGAGGTCCTCTGTATTCCCGGGATTGCACACAGGAAGATCCCAACTATAAAGAGAATAATCAGGTAGATTGAACTGGACCAAAATAACTCAGAAATATTCTTTTTTCTATGTAATCTTTTGTTATTGGAAGTTACGATTTTCCATAATTTATATACATTTTCTTTTTTTGGCTTTAGGGTGAAGAACTGAAAGACATCAAAGCTGAGGTTACAAGTGAAGAAGAGATGTTGGTGGGCAGAGCTCAGCAATCTATGGAGGAGGGGGAGATGATTATGGAAAGTGAACAGGAGGAATCTTCTCTACATACGGACACAAGTAAGTCATAAACATGAAATAGAGAAACAGGTCACATAGCTAAGGTCCATCTCCATTCCTCAATATGACGTCATGTGACCAACAAATGAGGAGGAGATACTGTACACCATATGAAGGTCCATCTCTATTCCTCAATATAATGTCATGTCCCCAACAAATGAGGAGGAGATACTGTACACCATATGAAGGTCCATCTCCATTCCTCAATATAACGTCATGTGACCAACAAATGAGGAGGAGATACTGTACACCATATGAAGGTCCATCTCCATTCCTCAATATAACGTCATGTGACCAACAAATGAGGAGGAGATACTGTACACCATATGAAGGTCCATCTCCATTCCTCAATATAACGTCATGTGACCAACAAATGAGGAGGAGATACTGTACACCATATGAAGGTCCATCTCCATTCCTCAATATAACGTCATGTGACCAACAAATGAGGAGGAGATACTGTACACCATATGAAGGTCCATCTCCATTCCTCAATATAACGTCATGTGACCAACAAATGAGGAGGAGATACTGTACACCATATGAAGGTCCATCTCCATTCCTCAATATAACGTCATGTGACCAACAAATGAGGAGGAGATACTGTACACCATATGAAGGTCCATCTCCATTCCTCAATATAACGTCATGTGACCAACAAATGAGGAGGAGATACTGTACACCATATGAAGGTCCATCTCCATTCCTCAATATAACGTCATGTGACCAACAAATGAGGAGGAGATACTGTACACCATATGAAGGTCCATCTCCATTCCTCAATATAACGTCATGTGACCAACAAATGAGGAGGAGATACTGTACACCATATGAAGGTCCATCTCCATTCCTCAATATAACGTCATGTGACCAACAAATGAGGAGGAGATACTGTACACCATATGAAGGTCCATCTCCATTCCTCAATATAACGTCATGTGACCAACAAATGAGGAGGAGATACTGTACACCATATGAAGGTCCATCTCCATTCCTCAATATAACGTCATGTGACCAACAAATGAGGAGGAGATACTGTACACCATATGAAGGTCCATCTCCATTCCTCAATATAACGTCATGTGACCAACAAATGAGGAGGAGATACTGTACACCATATGAAGGTCCATCTCCATTCCTCAATATAACGTCATGTGACCAACAAATGAGGAGGAGATACTGTACACCATATGAAGGTCCATCTCCATTCCTCAATATAACGTCATGTGACCAACAAATGAGGAGGAGATACTGTACACCATATGAAGGTCCATCTCCATTCCTCAATATAACGTCATGTGACCAACAAATGAGGAGGAGATACTGTACACCATATGAAGGTCCATCTCCATTCCTCAATATAACGTCATGTGACCAACAAATGAGGAGGAGATACTGTACACCATATGAAGGTCCATCTCCATTCCTCAATATAACGTCATGTGACCAACAAATGAGGAGGAGATACTGTACACCATATGAAGGTCCATCTCCATTCCTCAATATAACGTCATGTGACCAACAAATGAGGAGGAGATACTGTACACCATATGAAGGTCCATCTCCATTCCTCAATATAACGTCATGTGACCAACAAATGAGGAGGAGATACTGTACACCATATGAAGGTCCATCTCCATTCCTCAATATAACGTCATGTGACCAACAAATGAGGAGGAGATACTGTACACCATATGAAGGTCCATCTCCATTCCTCAATATAACGTCATGTGACCAACAAATGAGGAGGAGATACTGTACACCATATGAAGGTCCATCTCCATTCCTCAATATAACGTCATGTGACCAACAAATGAGGAGGAGATACTGTACACCATATGAAGGTCCATCTCCATTCCTCAATATAACGTCATGTGACCAACAAATGAGGAGGAGATACTGTACACCATACTAAGGTCCATCTCCATTCCTCAATATGACGTCATGTGACCAACAAATGAGGAGGAGATACTGTACACCATATGAAGGTCCATCTCCATTCCTCAATATAACGTCATGTGACCAACAAATGAGGAGGAGATACTGTACACCATATGAAGGTCCATCTCCATTCCTCAATATAACGTCATGTGACCAACAAATGAGGAGGAGATACTGTACACCATATGAAGGTCCATCTCCATTCCTCAATATAACGTCATGTGACCAACAAATGAGGAGGAGATACTGTACACCATATGAAGGTCCATCTCCATTCCTCAATATAACGTCATGTGACCAACAAATGAGGAGGAGATACTGGACACCATATGAAGGTCCATCTCCATTCCCCAATATAACGTCATGTGACCTACAAATGAGGAGGAGATACTGTACACCATATGAAGGTCCATATCCATTCCTCAATATAACGTCATGTGACCAACAAATGAGGAGGAGATACTGTGCACCATATGAAGGTCCATCTCCATTCCTCAATATAACGTCATGTGACCAACCAATGAGGAGGAGACACTGTACACCATATGAAGGTCTCAGTAAGTTGTCATGTTTCCGAGCAGTGAGGTGGAGGAAGGTCCTTCTGATCAGTATATTAGAACAATGTAGACCACGCTGGATCTTATTGTTGTCGGTATCTGAGTTGTATTTATATTTTTTTGCCAAAATTGCACCCAATTTGATGTCTGAATCACAATGATTGAAAATTATCTTCCAGCAGATGTTCTCCATGTCCGGAATAGCTTTGAGGAACATCTTATGTTATCTCCAGAAGAAGATGACATCACACAACATTCTCCAGGAGTGAATCTCATTACTCATAATAGACATCACAGACCTTCCCATTCAGAGACATCAATAGAACCCTCTCATCCTGAGGAATCTTCTGACCAATCACAGACTGTTACTCCAGATGTCCATCTGAGATCTCAGAGTGCAGAGAGATCAACAGATCCATCTAATCCCAAAGCATCTTCTCTAACCCAGGAAGGAAATCACACTGGAGAGCGTTCCAGGTCATGTTCAGTGTGCGGGAAATCTTTCACCAAAAAAAAAACACTTTTGAGACACCAGAGAAATCACACGGCCAAGCGCCCCCATTCATGTTCAGAGTGCGGGAAAAGTTTTATAGAGCAAAGAGATCTTTATAAACACCACAGAACTCACACGGGGGAGCGTCCTTATTCATGTTCAGAATGCGGGAAGTCATTCACTGAGAAAGGAAACCTTCATAGACACCAGAGAACTCACACTGGTGAGCTTCCTTTCTCCTGCCAAGAGTGCGGGAAATCTTTCACCAATAAAGGAAGCCTGATTAGACACCAGAGCGTTCAGACCGGTGAAGGCCCCTTTTCAAGTTCCGAGGATGGGAAAAGTCTCTCTTGTAAAACAGACCATTCGATTCCCAAGATGACTCACCCAAGCGGGCGTCCATTTTCATGCTCGGAGTGCGAGAAAGGTTTCCATACGAAAGGAGACCTTCTTGCACACCAGAGAATTCACACAGGTGAGCGCCCTTTCCCATGTTCAGAGTGCGGGAAATCTTTCACTGTGAAAAAAGTCCTTCTTAGACACCAGAAAAGTCACGCGGGTGAGCGCCCTTTCTCATGTTCAGAGTGTGGAAAATGTTTCTTGCTCAAAGCAAACCTGGTAAGGCATCAGAAAATTCACACAGGTGAGCGCTCTTTCTCATGTTCAGAGTGTGGGAAAAGTTTCATTCAGAAATCAGAACTTCTCATTCACCAGAGAACTCACACCGGTGAACGTCCGTTCTTGTGCCATGAGTGTGGGACATCCTTCACTAATAAAAGTGGCCTTAATACACACCAGAGCAATCCCATGGGCTGTTATCCGTTTTCATGTTCAGAGTGCGAGAAATGTTTCACTACAAAAGGAATACTTCTTCAACACCAGAAAATTCACACGGGTGAGCGCCCTTTCTCATGTCCAGAGTGCGGGAAATGTTTCATTAGGAAAGGAAAACTTCTTGAACACCAGAGAACTCACACGGGTGAGCGCCCTTTCTCGTGTCCAGACTGCGGGAAAACTTTCATTAAAAAAGGACACCTTTCAGAACACCAGAGGATTCACACGGGTGAACGACCTTTCTCGTGTCCAGAGTGCGGGAAATGTTTCACTACAAAAGGAGGCCTTACCCTACACCAGAAAATTCACACGGGTGAGAGGCGTTTCTCATGTTCAGAGTGCGGGAAATGTTTCTTTCGCAACACAGACCTTCTTAAACACCAGAGAAGCCATACAGGCGAGCGCCCGTTCTCATGTCCACACTGCGAAAAAAGTTTCTCTTACAAGGGAGACTTTAATCGACATCAAAGAATTCACACCGGTGAAAGTTCCCTTTCATGTTCAGAGTGTGGGAAATGTTTCACTCTAAAAGGAAGCCTTCATAAACACCAGAGAATTCACAATGGCGAGCGCCCATTCTCATGTTCAGAGTGCGAGAAAGGTTTCTATAGTAAAGTAGATCTTCAGAGACACCAAAAAACTCACACGGGTGAGCGCCTTTTCCCATGCTCGGATTGTGGGAAATGTTTCAATCAGAAAGGATCCCTTGTTAGACACCAGAAAAGCCACATAGGGGAGGGTTCTTTTTCATGTCAAGTGTGCGGAAAATGTTTTACACAAAAAATAAGTCTAATTAGACATCAGAGAACACACATCCGCTAATGCTGTTGAAAAAAGTACGTCGTCTTTTACCCCGGGGGAATTGTTTCGTCCATAGAACAACTGGAGGATATAAAAGAGGAACATTCTGGCAAAATGGACATTTCGGGAAGATGGAGCCTTGTGGGCTGAGTCAGCTTTTGGCATCTTCCTGTTCTTGCTATTCCAGTGGTAAAATTGTCCTTATACAGTTTCTGTCTCACTGGGGCACTCCCATTCCTCTCCAAATCCAGCAGGGAGAGCCGGAGCCCCTCATAATGGGCGTGGCACGAATGTACTCGGGGACTCAAAAAGATCCACGCATACGAGGGAACAATTGTGATCGCACAAGCCTCAGATTCTCCGGGGGGGTGGAGCTCACGTGTTTCCGATATGCGTGTCAAGATTTTTCAGGTTGTGGTTTGTTTTGGGTTGTGGAGGCCTTACATTTTGGTTTTACGGTCCCTCACTCACACAGATGACACAACAGCACTGAACCCACAAAGGACAGTTACACAACTGTCTGGCAACCGTGACAATACACGGGGGTGAGATATGGGTAATTATGACACTATATGGGGTGACAAATGGCCAATCATGCTACACATGGGGCAAGTAATGGGCAATCATGAGACATGGGGGCAATCATGATAATACATGGGGCAACAAATGGGCAATCATGACAATATATGGGGTGACAAATGGGCAATACACGGTGCAACACATAGGCAATCATCAGACACACGGGGCAATCATCAGACACACGGGGCAATCATGACAATACATGGGGCAACAAATGGGAAATCATGAGAGATACATGGGACAATCATGTTAATACATTGGGCTGACAAGTGGGCAATTATGGCAACAAATGGGCAAACATGCAACACATGACAAAACACTGGCAATCATAACAATATATGGGTCACCAAAAGGGGCAAACATGACAATACACCGGGCAACGAATGGGCCAGAAGCAAGGGCAACTCCACACAACAAGAAAAATACCAGAACATCCAATGAGGATTTGTCTTTCACCATCGGACCTTTTGATAGGTTGCTATGGGCTGCGGCACCCCGTTGCTCCTTCCATGAACCCGACAAAATAAAATTCTTACCAAATTTGATATATTTTTTACACAATTGGAGTTTATTGAAAGTTGACAGACAGAGCGCCGCCCATGTGGTTATTTCCCATACAGAGTCTGTGATATAATGCTACACAGTGGACGGTCCGCGTATCCCGAAGAATCACCGGGCGTGTATCCCGGGAGGGAAGGGCGGGCCCGGCGTCCACAAGTCCCTTCAGAAGAGGAGGGCAAAGGGCGGAGACGAGCGGAAATGTCATATTTACTTTATATTTGAGTTTGTTTCCTTTTATTTTGTCGAATTTCATCCGATTAAAAGAAAAAACAAAAACTCTAAAAAAAATTCTGTTGAGTCCCTTTTATTTTTTCCTACAAATGTAATTATGATCGGCAGTCGTAAGTCTTAGATGATCGCTGATACGGAGGCCACAGGTGAAGGTGGTGGAGCATGTGGGCCAGCCTCAGATGGAACTGTGGAGCAGGAAGTACGGGGAAGGTAGAATGGAGTGGGGACCATGTGGATATGAGTTGGCGGGGACTGTGGAGCAGGAAGTACAGGGAAGGTAGAATGGAGCGGGACCATGTGGATATGAGTTGGCGGGGACTGTGGAGCAGGAAGTACAGGGAAGGTAGAATGGAGCGGGACCATGTGGATATGAGTTGGCGGGGACTGTGGAGCAGGAAGTACAGGGAAGGTAGAATGGAGCGGGACCATGTGGATATGAGTTGGCGGGGACTGTGGAGCAGGAAGTACAGGGAAGGTAGAATGGAGCGGGACCATGTGGATATGAGTTGGCGGGGACTGTGGAGCAGGAAGTACAGGGAAGGTAGAATGGAGCGGGACCATGTGGATATGAGTTGGCGGGGACTGTGGAGCAGGAAGTACAGGGAAGGTAGAATGGAGCGGGACCATGTGGATATGAGTTGGCGGGGACTGTGGAGCAGGAAGTACAGGGAAGGTAGAATGGAGCGGGACCATGTGGATATGAGTTGGCGGGGACTGTGGAGCAGGAAGTACAGGGAAGGTAGAATGGAGCGGGACCATGTGGATATGAGTTGGCGGGGACTGTGGAGCAGGAAGTACAGGGAAGGTAGAATGGAGCGGGACCATGTGGATATGAGTTGGCGGGGACTGTGGAGCAGGAAGTACAGGGAAGGTAGAATGGAGCGGGACCATGTGGATATGAGTTGGCGGGGACTGTGGAGCAGGAAGTACAGGGAAGGTAGAATGGAGCGGGACCATGTGGATATGAGTTGGCGGGGACTGTGGAGCAGGAAGTACAGGGAAGGTAGAATGGAGCGGGACCATGTGGATATGAGTTGGCGGGGACTGTGGAGCAGGAAGTACAGGGAAGGTAGAATGGAGCGGGACCATGTGGATATGAGTTGGCGGGGACTGTGGAGCAGGAAGTACAGGGAAGGTAGAATGGAGCGGGACCATGTGGATATGAGTTGGCGGGGACTGTGGAGCAGGAAGTACAGGGAAGGTAGAATGGAGCGGGACCATGTGGATATGAGTTGGCGGGGACTGTGGAGCAGGAAGTACAGGGAAGGTAGAATGGAGCGGGACCATGTGGATATGAGTTGGCGGGGACTGTGGAGCAGGAAGTACAGGGAAGGTAGAATGGAGCGGGACCATGTGGATATGAGTTGGCGGGGACTGTGGAGCAGGAAGTACAGGGAAGGTAGAATGGAGCGGGACCATGTGGATATGAGTTGGCGGGGACTGTGGAGCAGGAAGTACAGGGAAGGTAGAATGGAGCGGGACCATGTGGATATGAGTTGGCGGGGACTGTGGAGCAGGAAGTACAGGGAAGGTAGAATGGAGCGGGACCATGTGGATATGAGTTGGCGGGGACTGTGGAGCAGGAAGTACAGGGAAGGTAGAATGGAGCGGGACCATGTGGATATGAGTTGGCGGGGACTGTGGAGCAGGAAGTACAGGGAAGGTAGAATGGAGCGGGACCATGTGGATATGAGTTGGCGGGGACTGTGGAGCAGGAAGTACAGGGAAGGTAGAATGGAGCGGGACCATGTGGATATGAGTTGGCGGGGACTGTGGAGCAGGAAGTACAGGGAAGGTAGAATGGAGCGGGACCATGTGGATATGAGTTGGCGGGGACTGTGGAGCAGGAAGTACAGGGAAGGTAGAATGGAGCGGGACCATGTGGATATGAGTTGGCGGGGACTGTGGAGCAGGAAGTACAGGGAAGGTAGAATGGAGCGGGACCATGTGGATATGAGTTGGCGGGGACTGTGGAGCAGGAAGTACAGGGAAGGTAGAATGGAGCGGGACCATGTGGATATGAGTTGGCGGGGACTGTGGAGCAGGAAGTACAGGGAAGGTAGAATGGAGCGGGGACTATGGGGGTATGAGTTGGCGGGGACTGTGGTGCAGGAAGTACAGGGAAGGTGGAATGGAGCGGGGACCATGCGGATATGTGTTGGTGGGGACT